CAGGAACACCGGCCGTAGTGACACGTAGATGTATCTGATGAGAGGGGGTAGCATTAGGTGTGCAATGCTGAGTAATGCTGGCAGGGAGGCAACAACTTCCCGCCACCTTCAAGCCAGATTTGCTCACTCAACCCAAGGCCACCGGGAAAAGGTGAGTAATGCCTCCTTCCTGCCTCTGCCTGCACCGCGAAAGTGTTGACAGTTGGCTCGGCTTCTCTCCTCACCTGTAAAAGGACATTTGTGTAGCCTTGGAACACATGCAAGAATCTGCAAGCAGATGTTTGGAATGTGCACGTCCTGGCCTTTGCTGTTACCGTTGCTGAAAAGAGACCCACAGACCTTAAGCTGTACTGAGCTTTCCAGTACTTCAAAGTAAATTTAACAGATTTCCTGCTCTTTTTACCACGGTGGTCACTTCCCATTTATCTAAAATCGATAGCCACCACTGAAATAATCATAGCTCTCTAGACTTCTCTGAGGTGAGCAAGAAGGTCTTGGACTTCTAATCCAGACCTGGGGTTCCACGTATACATGAGGCACCTGTACTTGGAATTCAAACTCTGTAGTGGAACTTGTGTCCCAGCAAATGGGCTACAACCAGTTCAGCAGGATGCCACACTGTGGCGCTAGTCAGCACGGCCCCGAGCTCTCGGGAATAGTTTGCTTTCCCTCAGATTTTCTCTTTATTACTGTTCTTAAAACACATTTCAACGCATATAAAATTATCAACATAAACTGAACCATGACGGCCTGTCTTGCATTGTGCTTTGAAATTCGTGTGTGTGTGATGTTGGGCCTCTGTCTCACCGGAGTCATTCAGGGGACGGTGACGTGAGACCTTAGGGAGTTCTGGAGTGGCGTTTTGTATCAGAATCCACTGCATTTGGGTTTTGATCTTGTGAATCAGTTATTCCCTTGAGAAGTTATGACATCTTCTTCAGCATTCTGGTTGGCATTTAATTGTTCTCATAAAGCAGCACAGAGAGAGAATAGAGCAGGCCAATTTAGGCTCAAATCCCTACTCTTCTGCTTATTGGTTCTTTGACCCAGGCAGGTAATGGGTTTCTCCACACCTCTGCACCTGCGCACATAAAATGATGGTCCTTGCAGACGGTCATGGGGTTACACGGAACGTCCATCAGAAAGCCTGGGTACAGTTTCTGCTACTGAAGATGCCTGGGGAAGTGCTGGCTCCCTGCTGGCGCGGGACATTCTCCTCTGCCATTCTGGAGTGTGTGACAATTTTATTCTCAGGTCTTTTCAGGGAGGTCCTCCCAGGTGCAGAACTGAAGCCTGGCTCCATCCATTTATTTTATGTCAGAGTAATTTTTTTTTTTTTTGAGACAGTTTTGCTCTTGTCACCCAGGCTTGAGTGCAGTGGTGTGATCTCGGCTCACTGTAACCTCCATCTCCTGGGTTCAAATGATTCTCCTGCCTCAGCCTGCAGAGTAGCCGGGATTACAGGTGCCCACCACCATGCCTGGCTAATCTTTGTATTTTTAGTAGAGAAGGGGTTTCCCCATATTGGTCAGGCTGGTCTTAAATCCTGACCTCAGGTGATCTGCTTGCCTCAGCCTCTCAAAGTGCTGGGATTACAGGAGTGAGCCACCATGCCTGGCCCATGTCAGAGAAACTTCTAACTGCCCTCAATTCCGACTACATGGTCTTCCCCACCAAGGAGGCAATGTTCTAACTGCCCTAATTTAGAGCAGGGATAAAACTGCCAAACCAAGCACTTAGGATGCTCAAGTGCTCACAGTAGTTTTGTCATTAGCTTCCTAAGAAGGGGGACTAAAGTGAATTAAGAACGCGTCATCCAGATGTACATTGGTCAAGGCTTCCTCTAGGGATGTGCAGCCCTCCCAGCCAGCTGGGGAAGGAAAGGACTCGGTGTTAAAACTGGAAAGTGGTGGGCAAATAGGGAAAGCTGGCCACCCTGATGATGTTCCCCTACCCAAGGCAGGGCTCCCCTAAGTGGGCACTACACAGAGGCGGGGGTCCCCTTCTGGGCCTTGGCACACTGGGCAGCTGTGTGAGCTTTGGGCCCAGGTTCCTCCGAGGAGACAAGGGTCGAATGCCATGCTTTCTAACAGCACTGTTGGTCCTGGCTGAGCTGCACCTGCCCAGCTCCCCAGATGCCCACACTGGCCTCTCCTTAGCACCTCAGGCACCTGGAAGAGGAATGGCGTGAGAGCATTGGGGGCACTTGGCAGACACTCCCCTGTGGAACTGAACTGTGGAAATGACTTGCCAAGCAGGTTGAGAAAACAGGGTCCTTGTGTCCTGATAGCATCTGCCCAGCCTGAGCCTGCTGTTTGCCTCCAAGGGTGTGTCTGAGAGACAGCTCTCAGAGGCCACTCAGAGAAAACACACCCCTCCACTTCCTTGCTGGCCCATTGACTCCTTATTCTCTCCCTAAGTTTGAGAAGTGGACTCCTAAAAGCCAAAGGGAGGCATGCAGTCTCTTACCAATGACCATACGATCTGATAGAGGCTCAGGCTGCAGATTCATTTGTGGAGTGTTATGCTTTTTATTCAGTTTAGATTTCAAAGCTTTAAGCTTCAGGGTGAAAGACGTCCAGAGACGAAAGTTAACCTCTCAGTGGAAAAACAAGTGCCATTTACAATTTGCATGTTATTCCTCCCTGTTGCTTGATTGTCTTTATATGATTTGGACTTTGGATTTCATTTATGGCCCAGATAGATTGGCCATCACATACACACCATGAACTACCAGGCTCACGTAAATTCATAAATCAGGCTCATGGCACTGCTCACATCTCCTCACTTTGCTTTCCCTCCTCCTTCCCTTCCTTGATGTTTGTCATCTGTCATCTGTCTCTGAATTGTCTGTCTTTATTTCCTTACTGAGTGTCTGTGATGCTGCTAGAATGTAAGCCATCCCCCAGTGGCAGGGAGCCTGGTGAACCCCGTGTCTTGTGCAGCATGTGGCCCCTCAGTACATGTGAGTGAATTCCATGTGTGATCATCAGTGACACCTCGATTCAAGCTGCTATTGAATCCACAGCACAGTTGTTTCGATACCACAAGGCAGACAGAAGATTTAGGTTGAGACAATTCTATAATTTCCTGTTCTGGCCCTTGTAATTAAGGGTCCTCCTCAAGCTCAACACTGAGTGATCAGCAGGGTGTTCTGAGCCAGGATCCAGGTCTTTCCACTCTGATCGTGGGGTTCAGAGTCTCACTTTCTAAGGAAATTAATGTTCTATATTGACCTAAAGGTGAATAGTTATTAGTGATTTAGTAGTCTCCCCTTCAGATCACATTTCAACTTTAATGACAATTTTTAATAAGATAATATAAATATGACAGTTGTGAGTGGGCAGTGGCTCGTGTATGTAATTTGGAAGGCCAAGGCAGGTGGGTCACCTGACGTCCGAAGTTCAAGACCAGCCCGAACAACATAGAGAAACCCCGTATCTACTAAAAACACAGAATTAGCCAGGTGTGGTAGCACATGCCTGCAATCCCAGCTACTGGGGGGCTGAGGCAGGAGAATCACTTGGACCTGGGAGGCCGAGGTTGAGGTGAGCGGAGATCATACCATTGCACTCCAGCCTGGGCAGCAAGAGCAAAACTCTGCCTAAAAAAAAAGAAGAAGAAGAAGAGGAAGAGGAAGAAGAAAGAAGAAGAAAAAGAGGAAGAGGAAGAGGAAGAAGAAGAAGAAGAAGGAGAAGAAGAAGAAGAAGAAGAAGGCAATGAACTGTAGGATTTGAGGCAGAGAAAATCAGGGAGCCATTGCTGGACAGGAGCACATGTTCTGGGGTTTCTGTGCTGCCTCCCATCAGCTGCTCCATGCTATTCCCAAGACCAATATTATAAGCACTTGGATGAGACACTCAATTTCCTTTGTGCTTAGTGTTGCTAACCTGGAACATTTAAATATTGTATAAATCTATCTGATTCACCAATGAGTGTGCAAAGTATAACCACCTAAGCATTGTGTAAGCCCCAAGCTTCCTTGAATGGAAAAGGCAGCTGCTGTTGACTCTGCAATACAAGCCATAGCACCCAAGGCTTGGACCGCTTCTGAACAGCTACGATAGGAGAGTTTCTGTAGCAGGACTGGATGTCTGTCCATATTCTTCATAGAAATAAAGAAGTGATGTATTTATTCTCCTCAAGAAAGCCTATTTTGGCAGGGCACAGTGGCTCACAGCTGTCATCCCAGCGGTTTGGAATGCTGAGGTAGGTGAACCACTTGAGGCCAGGAGTTCAAGACCAGCCTGGCCATCATGGTGAAAATCTCTCCCTACTAAAAATACAAAAATTAATTGGTGATGGTGGCGAGCCCCTGTAATCCCAGCTACTCAAGGGGCTGAAGCAGGAGAATCACTTGAATCCAGGAAGCAGAGGTTGCAGTGAGCTGAGATTGCTCCATAGCACTCCAGCCTGGGCAACAGAGTGAGACTCAGTCTCAGAAAAAAAAAAAAAGGAAAGCCTGTCTTTGGATTCCTCCCTAGGGTTAGGCATAGGCATCTGCAAGACTGAGCAAGATGGCAGAGTCTGGCTCAGCCAGGACAGCAAGAAAAACATCAGGGTTCCATGACTCACCAGCTGCCCAAGCCACCACACCCCCAGGGTGCATGGAGCAAAATGAGAAAACTCAACATAAGAAGAGTCTGCCTTCACTAATTTGCTAAAGAAAACGTTACAAACTGTGCTTTTGTTTTATTTTTGTGCCCTTTTTCCAATGACCATGTTAGCAAAACATGAAAATATTTTAAGCAAAAGACTGATGAAACAATTAAAGAAAAGCAGAGTGCAGAACATCCAAAACGGCTTTGACTGCATTTCACCTTGAGGAGAGTCGATGATTTCACAACTCACCTAGGACAAGCCTTGGGATGCCTTCCCCTCATTTCTCCCCGTAATCTGTTAAGAGGACACTCAAGAAGAAAAGGAGAAAACAGAAGGCAAGGAACTGTGATGAGCAGGCTCCCATTTCAAATTTTTGCCACATTATTCAAACTCATAAATCAGTATGAATAAATGATAAAAAATACTTTATTTCCTTAATACAGAATATTCAATATTGCACACCAGTTACAAATAGTATATAGAAAAAGCTCTGTCTGGAAACTGCCATAACGATTGTCTAAGTCTACTGATGCTTTCCGGCATCACCGGTGATAACCACAGTGCTGAACTTTGAACCAACCAGTGTCAATGCCCAGTAGTTTAAAACACTACGTGTATTTATGTGTACACATAACTAGGAAACCAGCTAGGTACATGAGTACCTTTTACTCTAAGGCATTGCTGATCCGTACCCACATATAAGTGAAAAAGACTACTGTTATTTTCTTTGCTCTATCAATCATTTTTTCATTATGTTTAATTACATTTTTTTAAAATGTCATTATTTCATGAACAAATATAAGCATCTTCAGCTGTCACTGCTGCACCCTCCTGTGGAAAGCAATCAAAACCTTTTCATACAGACTGAACTAAACAGTCTGATTTTTCTCAAAGTCACTCATTAAATTGAGTAATTCAGGTTTAGGCAAGACGTTCTTTAGTTTTACTTTTTATGTATATTTTTAGAGACAGGGTCTTGCTCTGTCACTCAGGCTGGAGCGCAGTGGTGCAATCATGGTTCACTGCAGCTTTAAACCCTTGGGCACAAGTGATCCTCCCACCTTGGCCTCCCAAAGCACTGGGATTAAAGACGTGAGTAACCGCTGGCTGAAGAAAGAACTTCTCACATTTTACACATACTCAAGACATGGAGCTGAGACATGAATCTAAATGGAAGGGAAGGAGGATTAACTCACTTCTTAGGACTCTGATGCCACCCGATTCCCTGTTCTTCATGCCCGTTTCTGATGCGTACTTTTAGAATTTACTCCAATGAACTCTCTCTTTTCCTGTGCCACCACCGAAGATGCAGACAGTTCTAAACGATCTTGGTGGTTTTAGTGGAAACCACTTTGTTTTTATATTTTTCACCTATTATATGAATGATGAATCTTCACCATTTTGATCTTAAATAAATCCGCCCCAGGCTGCATCCATCCTGCTCTGACAATAGAAACTTTTACGTAAAGTTTTCATATATAAAATTAATGGGACATCTGAAAATAAGGAACTGGGTATTTGAAGAGATCCTTTAAAAAAACTGCTCTCGTCCTTAACATTATCTTTTTTTAACTAAGTGCAATGCAGTGAACAGAAAAACAGCAGCATTTTCAGAGCAACCATTGGGAAATGCTTAGATCAGGGGACCTGCTGTCCTGACAGAGTCTGCATTCAGAAAGGTGCATCTGGTGGCCAGAAAAGACTCCCAAACCTGCATCTGGGACTTACTTGAAAACAAGTCACTACAGTACTGAGTGGCAGACACTCCACTTGCAGTCAAACGATAAAAATTCAATTATACAATATACACAGAGATGACCAAGAAAAACATGATTTAAAATTATACTGATAAAAACTAAAATCACATGAAGTAAAATAAAACTATCAGAAGACAAATAACTGTGTAAAAATAAATATCTAAGTAACCCAATGACCTCCTCTCACAGTAAAATAGTCACAAAAATAGAATACAATATTAACCAAGACTTGAATAATTCAAAATGAAATGGTTAACAAAATATGGTATCAGTGAGAAACCCATTTCTCCCCCCTGCACTTTCTTCTGGCTAATGATTTTCTTCTGAAAAAGATATATTTTGATAGTAAGCTCTTGAAGAATTGGCTGGGTAACAAATTTTCTTTGGGTTATTTCTCAGAAGGTTCTGTGGGTGTCATGAACGAGTTCACAATCAGGGACCCAGTAACCCCCATCAACATTCTCATTCCAGCCACCCCCAGGCTGTCCCTTGTTTCAAAATATGCTCTTTGTAGAAAAGAGTGATGTAGAAAAGTCAGATGTGGGTTGATTATGTCATATCTGGAGGTGTGAGTCAGATCAAAGGGCAGCGAAGAGGTCCTGCCTCAGATGCCTGTGTTCCATGTAAACCAGTTTTCGGTTCTTTTTGGAAGCTGGGAACAAGAGAACTGTGAAGTACATTCTAAATAGAGCTGCAAAAGTGAAACGTTGTATTCATCTGACCAGGAAACTGGAGATTCTTCTTCCAACCCTCCCGAAACTGTCCAGTTACAGTACGAGGTTTTACTGATCAGTATTTAAACTCGAATTCATCTTTTAATGGGTACTTCCCCATGCCTACAACCCAAATGGAGAATGGCATTAATAGAATGACCTTGTGGTCCTCCAGTTATTTTTAAAGTGCTCTCTGATTTGTTAAATAAGGTACACAGTAGTATAGTTTGGGATTTAAATGTAGTTTATAGTGCAGTAATGCTCTGGCAAGTGGGGTCGGTGTGCGCGACCGTGTGTGTTTACTCTTTCTGGGCCACGGGATTGAAACAGAATATACCTGTTCATGATTACTTTGATTTAAATGATGCTAATCAGCCCAGGATGGTCAAAAGGAGCACATAACGTGGCATTCATGCTTGGTTTTCATTTTCCTTGATTTAAAAAAAATCAACTTAGATATTGTTAAAATGCATCACAGTCCGTTCTGTCAGCAAGTCAGTCAAAAAGATCTCCACACGGCTGTAGGGTTAGCCCTCTGGAAGCAATGCTACTTTCACCTCAGACAAGGAAAATGCCTCTTAGAGATTCAGCCATTACAATTCAGCTAAATTTCAAAATCTGTGTTCCCATATTCTCTGTTGTATTTGAAACCTGAGAGCGCGTAAGCTTTGTCAATGGGGTGCTGTATTCCCAGGGAAAACAGCAATCATGGTCACCTAGGCATACTGGCAAAATGGCCCTGGGATGCCAAGTCACCCATGAAATCCTTCAAGAAGTCTTCATCATCACGCCTGTGATCCCAGCACTTTGGGAGGCCGAGTTGGGCAAATCACCTGAGGTCAGGAGTTCGAGACCAGCCTGGCCAACATGGTGAAACCCTGTCTCTACTAAAAATACAAAACTGCCGGGCGCGGTGGCACGTGCCTGTAATCCCAGCACTTTGGGAGGCCGGGGCGGGCGGATCACGAGGTCAACAGATAGAGACCATCCTGGTCAACATGGTGAAACCCCGTCTCTACTAAAAATACAAAAAATTAGCTGGGCATGGTGGTGCGTGCCTGTAATCCCAGCTACTCAGGAAGCTGAGGCAGGAGAATTGCCTGAACCCAGGAGGTAGAGGTTGCGCCATTGCACTCCAGCCTGGGTAACAAGAGCGAAACTCCATCTCAAAAAAAAAAAAAAAAAAAAAAAAAAAAAAAAGAAGTCTTCATCATCGGGAAGATTTGCTTCCTGTGGAGTTAAAGAAAAAACAGTGAATCAACTCCAGTCCAGACAAAAGTTAGTATAATAAAAACTAAATATTATACAGATCTGGTCTCTGTCGTTTTTGTTTTTTGACATTCTCTGCATTTTGAAACATCCTCTTTTGCATTTTAAATTTTGCAAAGAGGTCAGTAACTTTATAAATTCAGCTATCATCCCATTTCTCTGGCAGAACAAATTCCATCTCCCTGCAGGCTTTTTTCTGGGCCTTAAAAATTTCTCTTTGCCTCCAACTACTCATGGGGCAGTAAAGAAAACTTCTTTAAATGTTGCTAAGGCCAGTGCTAACTACCACCGAGTCGGACAACAAAACAGGCGGCAGTCAAACTGAGTATCTGAAGGCAATCGGACTCCTCCCTTTTCAAACACCAATATCTCTTAAAGGCCCGGGGGTGGGTCACACAACAGGGAAGAGTGGCCTTATGGCTACTCAAGCCATTCGTTTACCTAAAATGTGTTCCTAGTTGCGTAAGTTTCCAGAATAGTCAAAGAAGAAGGAGTAGAAAGGCTGAGAAGTCCTGAGCTCTCTGTTCTGTGTTCCCACTGCATCTTTGCAAACATGAGACACAACTCTGTTCCAGCAGCTTTCCGTGGCTTCTACAGGTACATCTTCTTTCTTTGTGTCAAGGATAAATGTGAAGATAGCCGTGGAATGTCTGAACATTTCTGCCCCTTGAAACTAAGCAATGTTTTATCCCCAATTTCCCAAAGGACAAGTTATTTATGCCAGTATTAAAAGCAGCAACTTATGTATTCTATGCAAACTAGAAAGATGTAAATTTTGGCAAGTCCTGTTTGATGAATTGAAAGACAGGAAGATGACTAAATCACAGCAGATAAAAGAGTCCCAAATAGAATCCCAAAATTACCCATGTACGACCAACTATGACTCATGGGTTCCCCAGAGGACTTGAGAGCAGATTACATGAGTCATTCCCCAATTCTGATAGTCTCAGTTTTGAAAGCAATTATCTTCACCCCATAAGGCAAGAAACTTATTTAGTTCTATTATAATTGAGAAATTTTTATTATAATTTATAAATCTCTATCTACCAAGGGGACAAAAACCACTGTAGAAAATATATGTTTCCTCTTTCACTTAGAAAACCTACCTTTGTTCATCTCAGGTTTTCTGAATCTTTCATGAAAACCTAAAATGAATCCTTATAAATTCCAGCAGAAAAAGCTTAATTTCCTGCTTGTACAACTTCCAGAAGTTGCAGAATGGGTCTCAGAACAAGGGACTTCTGCCAGAAGCCGGAAGACCGCCCCACTGACCAGGTGTGACACTCTGTCCTGGCTCTTCCTGCTGGTCTCCAGAGGGAACACCAGTGCTGGGAGGCGGGGAGCTGTGCAGGGGCTGAGGTCATGAGCAGACCCTGTTCCAGTGATCTGGAGAAAGCCCAGGCTACTGTGTTCTTCATACTCCCGGCCCCCAGCAGCCAGGCAGTCGGTCTCTGCATTGCAGTTTCAGAGAAATGATAGTGGTTTGGGTCTAGGGGAGTACATTAGTAAGGGAGATCTTCACAGTGCTGGTGACTGCCAATTCCATATAAAAACTGGGGTCGCTTCTGTGCGAATGCCCCCTGCTCTAAGAAATAATGTAGAACTTCTCAGAAGACAAGTGCCATTGTCTCCTGCCTGAAACGCACGGATTCAAGAGGAGGAAGAAGCCCAGGAGCCTCTTTTTCCTGCCTCCATCCTTAGTGCCTTCCCAAACCTGCTATAACTTTCCGTTTTCCTTCAACTATTTCTCTTTGTCATAAAAGTGAAAGTTCTCATGGGCTAACTAAATTTCTTATATTTTTCATAGGTTCAAGCCTAAAAGGTCTTTAGGGTTTAGTCTATGAAGTCAACTACATTCTCTCTCAGATGACTATTTTGACATTGGCTAACTGGAGATGGGAACCAGCCTGGGTCTGCAGGGATCGGAGCCGGCTGCTTCTATTTTTATGTTGTCAGCTTATATTCTGGTTTTGTTTGTATGCCATATTATTATCTCACCGGTATACCACCAGGTCTACCTACTGGCTGCACATGTGCTGGCTACCTGGAGGGAGCTCATTCATAACTTTGCTTTTCATGTACTTCAATAGACAACTTTCTTTTTTCCATTTCTGGGTTTCAATTATGCAACACAAATTATTACTAGACAGACTAGAAAACGCAGAGGTGGAAAACCATCTGCCTCCTTCCCTTCTTTGTTGGATAAAGAAAGCCTGGTCTATAGCACAGGAATCACTGGCTAACATAAGACAGGCCCTTAATCTGGTCTAGGGCACTATCTACCAGACTGTCCCTCCAGTGACCATGGCCGCCCTCCAGAGCTCCTGCCCTACATATGGTGCCATCATTAAAATACCCTTGCCAGCATTCATTCAACCCAGATCCAAAAGACAGTTTGTGAAAACGACAAATTCATGTTTATTTGTTTGTTTTTTAGAAATTTGCCTATATACATTTGTTGGGGACTTCGCCTAGTGGGAAACACAAGTCTTCTATAAATTATAAGGAAGGACTTAAGTCCTGAGACTTCTGAGTTCAAGACCAAGACTGAATTAACCAAATTTTTATGTCTATACCAAAGTCATAGCCAGAGAAGTTACTGGATATTTTTTCAGTTGCCAAAGGTAGGTGAGTCCTGTGCAAACGTCTCTTGGGCAGCGTCCCCCGAACTCTACAGGCTGCCAGAATATCACAATGGCAGACAATAATTTCATTCCATGATTTAAAAAATTTATTGATAGCAAGTTGTCATTGTAGGATAAGAGAAAAAAAAGATGTTGCAATGTTTAAATTCCTGGTTATCAGAGAGCCCTGAAAAGGTACTTTCTCTTCACTACTGTGTAAAATGTCCATAGGGAAGAGCAATAGGGAAGAGCAGGCCAACGGTGAGAACCCGCACTCCTTCGCTCCCGCGAAAAGCTAAAGGAGCCCGAAGTCAATCCGGCACTACTCGTTGTCCAAAAGGAAGTTACTTCCTGCAGTATCATCAGAGGCAGATAAACTACAGACTCGCGTTACAGCCTAGTCCAATTTGCCTAGTTTAAAAAACTGAAGCTCTCAAAACAATTTAAATAAAATTTAGCCAAACAAAGATCTTTGTTGCTAGGGGAAAGCCAAAGTGCTGAGAAGATCCTGTGAAGTTCTCACCACTTCAGCACAGGCCTCCAGGAAGTACAGGGAGCCTCCCTTTCCGTTCCAGCGAGACAGCAGCGCCTACCTAGGGCTGCAGGTGGACGGATCTGCTGCAATCAAACGTCAGAACCGCCCACAGCGCAGGTCAGCGCACTCAGGAATAGGGCTCTCACGCTGTTTCCAGCGCAGGTAATAATACCAGGGGTGCAAAACTGCTTTCGGGCAGCATTTTGGATTTCTCCTGTGTTCACAATAATAAGCCAAATGGGACATGTTAATTTGGAGAATTGCCCTTCCAGGCAGCCAGACGCAGCAGATTCCTAAGGGCCTGGATCTGCAGGTACCTGGATTGGTACCTTCTGCTCTTCAGCACCCGGGGCTCAGCTCACAACCCTCTGCGTCTGTGTCTTGGGTCTCTTTCACACTGCAGCTCCAAATCGCACTCAATACTAGGCATCCGCTGTGACCGGCCATCGCCCAGCTGGGTCCACTTACCAAGGCTCACCCCCCAGCACACGGCCAGCCCCGCCCCCAGCCTTCTGGGCACGCACCTTGGGCCCTGCACCGCTCCGGCGCAGGCGGTCATGCCGGCCCCTGCAGCCCCTGGCCCGGGGTCTCTTTGGCCTTCCTGCAAGTGTACAGCCACTTGATGATGCGAGCGTTCCTCTCGACCACGGAAGTGGTGCTGGGCACCTGCTCCATCAGCTCCTCCTCCTGCAGCCCGTCGTCGTCGCTGTGCCGTGAGAAGCCGCTGCCGGAGGTGGCGACGCTCACGCTGCGCACCTTGAGGGTCACCCGGTCCGACCCCGCCGTGAAGTTCTCCCTGCCCAGGGCCTCCACCACCTCTGGGTCCAGGCCGCAGTACTGGAAGAAGGTGTCAGACTCGGCCAGGGCGGCGGAGTAGCGCGAGCTGAGGTCCGACTGCGAGCGCTGCAGCCCCCGCCGCCTCACTACCCGCGGCTCCGGGCCAGGGGGCGCGGCCGGGACCGTGGAGGGAGCAGCGGAGCCGGTGCGCGCGGAGGGGGCTGGGGTCTCGGGGGTCGCGGGGGCCGCTGCGGGGCCAGGCTTGGTCGGGACGGTCTCCGGGTTCCCTGCCTTGCCCTCGTCGCCCGTCCGGGGAGTCTCGGGGGGCACCGGCGCCTTGTCCTTGCCCGGCCCCTGGAAGAGCTTCTTCACCAGGCTCGCCCTGCGGCCGTCGGCGCCCGGTCCTCGCACGAACTCGCATTTCTGGCGGTAGATGATGAGCGAGTCGGGTCTCAGCGGCTTCCGCGCAATAGCCCTGCGAGCCACCGGGGCGGGGGCGCGGGCCGGGGGCCCAGGGTCGTTTCCCGGGCACTTGACCGCTCCCGGGCCGCTGCCCTGGGAAGCGGCGTCCCGACCCGCCCCCGGGCCCCGCACGTACTTGGCGCGATCGGCAGCCAGCCTCTCCACTGCGCTTCTGCGCCCTGGACGCGCGGCGTCGGCGTCGCGGGGAGCCTCGGGGTCCCGGGGAAGTAGCCGCTCACTCGGGGGCGCGTCCAGGGCCGCCAGGGCGCGCATCCCCGCGGGGAACGGACCGGCCGGGGCGCCGGGTCCAGCGGAGACGCGCTCGCAGGGCGGCGCCAGTCAGTCCTCCGGCGGGTTCCGAAGTCCGCACCGGGTGGGGAACTGCGCCTGGGTGCCCAGCTGCCCAGGCCCGGGGCTGTGGACAACCGGAGTCCGCACCGATTGGCGAATCTCTCCAGCTCCCGCCCCTCCCGACCTCAGCGCCCACCCGACTGGCACCGTCCCCGCCCGCTCCCCCGTCGTCCCGCCTCCTCGCTGCCGCCCGGGCCCGCCCCTCGCAGCGCTCCGGGTGCCAGCGCCCGCCCTCAGCCCGCGTCTGGGGTCCCCGCCCTCACCTCCCGCCCGGTGTGTCCCGCTCCCCCTGATCTGGCTGCGCTGCCGACCGCCCGGAGGACGCTGGGTCGAGCAGGTTCCGAACTCCGCACTCGCTCAGCTCCAGGCGTCAGCCTGGGAGTCCCCGAGGTCGCCGCTGGACGCAGGCATTTCCGGGGAGGGGGAGCCGAGGGACGTCCCCCCCCACCTCCCCCGGGCAGGTGCCTCACATCCTTTGAATTCTTAAAGTGACCTCATCGTGTTTGGAAACTTGACTGTTTAATTTTCTCTACCTGAGCTCAGATTCTTAGTCACAGAAAGGAGTAGAACCTAAGAGGAAGGAAAACGCAGCGCACGCCAGGATCGGCCTCCGCGCAGGGGCAGGAGCGCAGGGTCTTGGATCGGGTCCCGCCCTGTCGCCCGTCGGCAGCAGCGCAGCCAGGCCCGAGGACCCGCCGGACTCGCGGGAAGGCAGGCTGGGGGCCCAGGCGCGGCTCAGTGGATTTGGAAAAAGTCCAGCCAAGTGCCCAGAATCTTTGCTATTTTTACTGAAACCGAGTCAACCGGGAAGCCACGAGTTCACCAGGCGGTGAATCAACCTAGGAATGCTGAAAGTCTAAGATAAAATATTTCCAAAATTTGGACAAAGAACTAAGGATACCTCTGAGACACGTGACATGCTCACGTTATCGCGTCTGTGAAGACGACGCAGAACAGGCTGTGCTTTCACCGTCGTGGGTGAACTCTCCGAGCAGCCGCAGCCCGGGAGGCAGGGAGCGCAGCAGGTGCCCGTGGGCGCCCAAAGTGGGCGCGAACCCCTCAGCAACGAGGAGGGGCCCGCAACAGGGTGGTGCTGAGCGGGCCTTGGGGTTCTTTAATCTCCTTCAGCCCCAGCGAAGCAAAATCTCGCAGGGATAGATGCACAACCAGAAATCGCCTTCTGAAAACCGGACCGCCCAGACGGCCTCGCTGGATCAGCTTAGACTCTTAGGAAAAGGAGTCAGGGTCAATGAAGAAAAGAGTGGAGAAGAGAGGGAAGGATGCGGGGGTGAGGAGGGAAAGAGAGAGAAGCAGAAAGGGGGAGCTGAGGATGCGGGAGGACGAGGACGGCCTTGAGACCCAAGTCCAGCCTGCTCTCTGCTCCGCGAGCCTGTTCTCTACGTCAGAGGGAAAAACCTGTTCCGTTGTTTGGCCCAAAGTGTCTCCTTTTCCTAATTCGCAAGACATGGGCAGCAGCGGCAGCACTTCTGAGACAGAGAACTGTAAAGTTCTCTCTGGATTTGAGTCCGGGTCCACAGTTTACCTTGGACAGGTAACAAAAGTCTCAGGTTCTTTGGTCACTTGTAAAAATTCCTGTTTTAAATTTACAAGAAAAAAACCACCCCATTAAAAACTGGGCAAAGGAGGCTGCGCCCGCGGTGGCTCACGCCTGTGATCCCAGCACTTCAGGAGGCCAAGGCAGGTGGATCACCTGAGGTCAGGAGTTCAAGACCAGCCTGACCAACATATAGAAACCCCATCTCTACTAAAAATAAAATATTAACCGGGCATGGTGGTACATGCCTGTAATCCCAGCGACTCCGGAGGCTGAGGCAGAAGAATTGCTTGAATCCGGGAGGCAGAGGTTGTGGTGAGCCTAGATCATGCCATTGCACTCCAGCCTGGGCAACAAGAGTGAAACTACATCTCAAAAAAATTAAATATAAAAAAAAGTGGGCAAAGAATATGAACAGACACTTCTCAAAAGAAGACATTATGCAGCCAACAAGCATATGAAAAAAGCTCAATATCATGGATCATTAGAGAGACACAAATCAAAACCGATGAAATGCCATCTCACGCCAGTCAGAATGGCTGTTATTAAAAAGCCAAGAAACAACAGCTGCTGGCAAGGCTGCAGACAGATAGGAACGCGTCTACACTGTTGGTGGGAATGTGAATCAGTTCAACCACTGGGGAAGACCGTGTGGCTGTTCCTTAAAGACCTAGCACCAGAAATATCACTTGACCCAGAATACCATTGCAGTGTATATATCCAAAGGAATATAAATCATTGTCTTATAAAGATAGTGCCATTACTGTATATATGCCCAAAGGAATATAAATCATTGCCTTATAAAGATAAATGCACACATATGTTCATTGTAGCACTATTCAAAATAGCAAAGATGTGGAATCAACCCAAAGGCCCATTATAGACTGGATAAAGAAGATGTGGTACATATACACTGTGGAATACTATGCATCCATGAAAAATAATGAGATGATGTGTTTTGCAGGGACATGGATGGAGCTGGAAGCCATTATCCTCAGCAAAGTAACACAGGAACAGAAAACCACACACTGCATGTTCTCACTCATAAGTGGGAGACGAACAATAAGAACACATGGATGCAGGGAGGGAAACAACATACACTGGGGCCTGGTGAAAGGTGGGGAGACACGGGGGAGGGAGAGCATCAGGAAAAATAGCTGATGCATGCAGGGCTTAATACTTAGGTGATGGGTTGATAGGTGCAGCAAACCACCATGACATATGTTTACCTGTGTAACAAACCGGGACACCCTGCACACGTACCCCAGAACTTAAAATCAAATAAGCATATTTAAACTGATAACATCAATCACATACAGAAATTCTACCTCTTTACAGCTCGTCCCTGCTCCTATTGATCTTATTGGTGTCAAAAAATTATATCCTTATATATTGGGTGCTCATTAACATAGATTTGTAATCCTTTATTCTAAAAAGTGGAGTTTTAACCCTCCCCGAAAAATCAGCCCCATACTAGGGGAGGGCTCAGGAGAGTTCAGCTGACGTGGCATCTAAGAAGGAGAAAAGGTGATCAAACATGACAGGCGCTTCAGAGAGATGAGGGTGAGACGTTCATCTCTGGAGCCTCTGCCATGGTCACTATCCCATGGTGTGGTTTAATTTGAGGGACGGGTATAGAAGCTGGTTTATGCTGAGTTACTTAGAGAATAGGTGGTAACGTACTGAAATGTATAAAATTAGGGTCATTTTTCAAGGATTTTATGGTGGAAAAATATGTTAGCACAATAGCCTGAACAGGCGGGCACGGGAGAGCAGCTGCTTTGGTTGGTGAACGCTGCACGTATTGTAAATAAAAGGAAAGAAGCTGTGGAAGAGGAGATGGCCGATTGGTTAAAGTCCTTCTGGAGGTGGAGGAGGGTATATTTAAATGCTGAAGAGGACTATCAATTCCAGAGAAAAAAGAGCTCAATAGAGTTCGGATGGTCTCTGAAAAAAATAAAACAAGCCTTAAATAATCCTGTTTCTTATCTCCACACATGCTGTCTGGGTTAGTTTTAACAGAACCCATAAGAAACCATTCAAAGCAGGGTATTTAAAATGAAAAAAGGGTACAGAGATCTAGCTTGTGCTAAGCTGTAACTGACTCTCGAGAAAATATGCCGCTAAAAGTAAGATTAAACTACATTTTGCAGCATAAAGGTCAACCAAGTTCTTTTCTAAATGCAGTAATTAAATCAATTAAGAAAAAGAACTCTCAAAACAGGTAAAATCCACCCATTGAAAGCTCACTAGTTTATGTTACAGCAAGTCCACAGGAAAAAATCACACTGGCATTTGTGAGAAACGTCCTTACCGGTCCAAAGCCAAAGAATGGGCTCCGGGTCACAGAGAAATGGCAGTTTTGCGAGATTGGGTGTTTGGCATCGAGGCACAACCTGAACCGTTTTAACAAGCCATTTATTTCCTAGTGCGTAAGTCCCTCCCAGTCCCTCACTGGCTGAGTGCTGTGGGTTTACAATCTCCCTGGACCTGCCTATTGGTGTTAAGGGTTCAAGTATGTTTTTTAGGGTCTTTCTGCTGCATGTATTGCAGCCCATGATGCATTGCGACTGCCTCAGGACTTTTTAAACCTTTGACCGATGGCCCTGGGGGCTGCACTTAGCTGACAAAAGAGTACAGTTATCCACCCTGCAAGCCAGCCTGAACTAAGTTCCTTGGCGGGGCGGGAGGCGGTGGTTAGGTGGGCCCTGACTGCAGGCACCTGGCTACGGGGTGAAAGGGAAAGAAGGGGCTGGCGACTTCATAAATTCTGCTTCTTCCCGTCTTTGTAGCCTGTTTAAACCTTCATGACAGCACTTAGAGTTGAAAACGGGCCATCGCACGTGGGTTATTTTCCACAGTATTTCATCTTACCATCTTTATGTGGTCACAATAACTCTGGGTAAGGATTTTAGGGAATTCCTTACAGGTGAAATGTCAAATTTCCAGAGGGCATCCTTGTCTTTGATATTTATTCTTTTTCTGTTTATTAAGAAGAATAAACCTTGAATATAAAATGCTCATGCATCATTTACTAAGTTTCCCTCCTAATCTTTCGGGTGAAGTTGACATTGGTGGTGATATGAGCCGCTCAAGTGTCTAAAGAAATAGGCTCAGGTGCAACTATTATTATAAAGCCTCTCATATTCTAGGAAGGTGAACACCGTCCCCTGTGGGAACAGGTCATTGTCTTGTTCAATGCACTTTAGAATTAGTAGTGAGTAGACATTAGAAACCAAATCATGAATGATATTGTACAGACGGGCTCCCTCTGCTGAGTGTAAAGCTATATTAAAACAAAACCTCTGCTGAGGATTCATCAAGACGGCTGCCTAGCGGAACCAGCACTCACTCTTCCGCAAAGAAGAACAGATACCCACACATCGAACAGTGCGTCTAAGGGAGAACACTGGAATTCAGTAAGGAGTGACAAAGACGCTCTGAGGCATGGACACTCAGGACGATGGATAGAATGGACTGGTCCACAGCGCAGAGGGAATACTCACTGAAGGAAAAAGGTGAGCGAGAGATCTCCAGCAGCCCATTCGTGCCGCAGACATCTGCAGTCCCAGCTGCAGGAGAGCCCCACAACCGTCAAGGGCGCTGA